CCCTACATAGGGCCCTACATAGGTCGATATCCCTACATAGGGCCCTACATAGGTCCTATTTTTGGTCCTTCTTGATCCTGAAACTATGGATATAAACTCATTCTGCATTCAGCCCTCGTCCTCACATCCTCTGGGCTCTGTATAAACATTCTGAACATGACTTCTTAAAATAAGTGTATTTACCCTTAATTTGTTAAGGTAAATAAGATGATTTGCCAATGGAATGAGTAATTAGAAGCAATAAGACAATGCAATGATTTTTTCTTATTTTAAATGTTTTGTTCCACTGTCTTCCCTCCTTTGATGGATGCAGGAGTAACCATCCAATCACCTTCATTCATGTCAACTATTTTGATAAGGATGCTAAGCCCCGCCCCCTAGCTCTTCCTCTTCCTGATAAACACACTATGTTTCTGTCAGAGGAATCACCCAGGGGTCCAGCAGGAGGTCCTGGAGGCGACTTTACCTCCTGGGGTCAGACGTTCCTCATGGTTCTGCGGTTCCTCCACCTTCTGGTTCTGATCCGTCCCACACCTGAAGCAGAAGCTCTTAGGATGTAACGGAGAAATCGGGCAGCAGAACCTGAACCGGGCGGCGGCGGCTTACCTGCAGAACGGCGGGTTCTGACCCAGGCTCCGCTCCAGACGGACGAGGAGCCGCTCTGCTACGCTGCCTAAACACACACACACACACACAGGTTAGGAGCAGCCGGTACCAGAACCTCTGACCCGTCAGAAACCCGACCCGGCACCTCGTCCGGCGATCAGGGTTCTTAGTTCCTCCAGCAGGTTCTGGACGCTCTCCGCCTCTGTTCCCACGCTGCAGCTGGATGGGTCCTGACCCGGCTTGGGAACGGCGTCCGCCCCATGGCCCCGGGAAAGGTTCTGATGGTGCCGTAGAACAGGGCGGGGCCGGGCAGGAGAGGTTCTGTGGGTCGCTGCTTCTGAACCCTGAAGGTCTGAGGAGCAGAACCAAGATGGCTGCGTCACACAATTGGACCAGAATCATTCCACTAAACTTTCTGCATCTAAAGTTATTCGTCCCTCTGAGAGAAAAAAAGATTAAACTAGTAACTTATTAGGAAGTAACTAGTTATAGTACCGGAGTAATCACTCGAATTCCGATATGCAACGGTTGGAACGATATGCAACGGTTGGAACGGCTGCTTCCCTACGACTTTAAGGCAGAACAGAAGGACGCCTCAGGAGGGCGCCATATTTTAGTCTGATTCATCAGACTGTTGACAGCAAAGCTGCTTCAGCCGCGCGTCAGAACTAAACTTTTACAAGCATCAAAAATGAAGCAGCAGGCGGGTTTTTGCTGCTCCTGCTGCGTGCCTCTGAACGTAGCGTTATAAGTCGGCAGCCATGTTGGATTTAAAGGCGGAGCCTAAAGGCTGACCTGCAGCTCTGCGCGGCGGCTTCCTGCAGGCCGGCCTCCCCTGTGTCGCCCTGGGTTTGGCTCCTCCTCCTTTCATCGCTCTGGTGACACCTGTGGGAGGGGAATAAGTCTGAAAAGTGCGGCTTGCTCCTGTTGC